TTAAGCATGCTAACAAACTCCATTCAATGATCACTAAACTACTCCTGAGATTAGCTGAAACAGCAGACCTGCCACTAGACGTTGCTATGTGCAAATCTTAGATTTAATTTTGGGAGAAGATGCTCCAGGTGCTGTTTGAGAGAGACCTTGGAAGACCAACACTGCTTCCGAAAATGCCAATGGAAGAACACTTTGCCTCCTCTACCCTCTTGGTCAGAGGCAAGACAATTTGAAGAGGCTGAATAAAAGTCATCCCAAAAGCATTCTCATTACAGTCATCTGATTCACTCTACCAAATGTTTGGCAACATAAAATCCACGGAGAACCACAAGTAAGGTCAGACTTGGTAGCAATGAAATCCCCTACCTATTCAAGAAAGGGAGGCGTAAGTCCCAGGCTCACCATTATTCTGTTAAAGATTCTGCTTGATTGGGTAGGTTTTTTTAATTCCAAAAAACTACTTCAGATTTCATAGAACCACAGAATTGTTATGGTTGGAAAGACCTCCAAGATCATCAAGTCCAACCATAAATTTGTTGCTATTCATTTGTTTTCTCGAGACTAAACAACTGGATCATTGAGGAAACTTAGAGATAACATATTTTACAGAATGCAGATACAGAAAGAATCCCAGAGTGGTTTGGGCTGGAAGGGACCTTAAAGACTGCCTCATCCCACCCCTTGCCATGGGCAGGGACCCTTCCACTGGACCAGGTTGCTCCAAGCGCCGTCCAACCCAGCCTTGGACACTTCCAAGGTTTCTAAAGGTTAAATTTCTCTAATGTAAAACCAGTGCTTACACACTGACAATACACTCTGAGTGGCAGAGCAAAGCAAAGTTGGTTACTTCAGATGGAGCAGGTGAGGGTGCTGACAGTCCCCCAGGAAATGCAAGACTGAAGTTTCCTACTCCTTAATTCTCTAAAAGAAGAGAAAGAAGGGGAAAAAACCAAAACCACAAAATACTAAAGAAAATTAAAAGCAAACTCCTGTGCAAGGCATGGCTGCTGTGCCCTTCCTAAAACCCTTCAGCCACAACACCAGCTGTGAGCATCCACCAGGATATCTCACCTGTGCAGACTCTGCCTGTGATGGAAAGAAGTGACACAGGACAGTGATTACAGTCTCAGGGTGGAAAGACACTGGGTCTGATGCAGAATAGCCCTGTGCATCCCATTATAACCACTGTGTGTTCTAGGAATGGGGTTACTGATGAATTCTGCGTGTTTTAGGTGTACCCTCCTCAGGATTTGAAGTGCAAAGTAAGTCCAGGAAGCCAACCTTAAATACCTGATTGAAGCCTGATTAGAAAATGCCAGCTGAAGCCAATCTGAGAAAGTCTACTGATAAAGTCTTTCACCTTCCAGCACCCTGAAGACTTGCACATTGCCCCAGATGCCTATTAAAACCCAAAGTCCTGTAACAGCTATTTAAAACAGAACCCATGTATGTGCTTGGCAGAAATAAATGGACTTACGCTGGCTGTGGATGTTAACTGCAGAATAAAATCAACCCAGTGTGAGGGGTTTGTGTGAACTAAGACCAAAAGGAAAGTAAAAATTCTCAGTTCAGACTAAAACTACAGGTCTGTGTATTTATCAGCTATAGTATCTCATAATGCTGAGCAAAAATCCAAAATATTAACAGGAATGCTAAGAAATTCAGTCTTTTAACAAATAAGGAATTATTCCAGAGTTAGACTCATTCTAAAATTTTTCATTTAGACAGAAAGCCTTGTCCAAACCTTGTCCTGTTCCTGACCACAACTCTCTTATGAAACTTATTTTTAAATTTATTGCCTACCCAATTCAGCAGAAGAGTGACAAGGTCTCAACTCTGTCATTATTAATATCCACAAAAAGAAGACAAGGTTTGGATCTCGGCCAAGAAAAATTTGTCCATTGAACTGCAGTATTTCCAGCAATAACAATCTAATTCAAACCTCACAAAATGCTCCAAAAGGAGTGGGAAAGAGGGCGATGCTTGGCACAAGGGAAGAAATACTGTCTAGAGACCAATCTGGAAAGGCCAAACATGAAAGCATTTGCTTAACATGCTAAATAAAAATAATGTGCAGGAGCCTCTCAGACCAACATGCTCTCCCCTCTGGCATGAGCAAGGCCCTAGTGATACTCCAACGAAGGAAGTTTTTTTACCATTACCTTCTGGATATACACTCACATCAGGAATGGGTTTACATCCACAGCTGTAAATTAGGCAGGAGTCTTCATGTCAGGCAGCCAAATCATACCTGGGTTAGAGATATCATCCTCCTCCCTACATCTACTCTGCCTTCCCAGCTCCATGACATCCCCATTCTTTCTGTTTGACAAGAGCAGAAGACAATATGGAAAACTCATGCAATAAGGGATTTCCTTCTGTGCCTTCCTCTCCAGCCTGTCATCTCTCTAGTCCTTCCCCTTACTTTACATGGCAAAAGAGATTCAGCTCTCAAGTTTGCAATGCTTTGTTTTATTAAACTGAAATATTTGTTGACAAAAGATTAAATGAATAAAGCTGTATCCCAGGTATGGTGCTAGTAACAGAATTTGTGGATCCCATTAATGTTCCCAGTAAAATGGTTAGAGAAAGCTTCCTGTGGGTGCTAAATTCCAAGTCTTTAAGCTCTCTCTTAAGGTTAAATCCTTGGATGGTTTGGGTAGCATGTGGAGGGTGCCACACTGCTTACACATCCTTGTGTTATTCCAACTGCACTAACCGGTATAATGCAAAATTATAAAAAACCCTCATCATCACTATAACACCACTACAACAACTTTACAGCTACTCTTGTGAGACTCAGAGACCATCTCTTGTGGGCACCTTCAGGAATGGCACCATATTACAGTCATCAGCAGAGCATCCTTAGCACAGCAGAATCCAGCAAAATGCCATTTCTCCCCACTTGCTGCAGCCCCTGCCCCTGAGTCAGCAGCTGAGCATGCACAAAGCAGCACCTCACTTCAGTCTGAGACATGTCCCCTCACCTGTGACAGTCACCATCAACCAGACACCAAGTGACAGAGCTTGGCAGCAGCTCTGGGCTTGGTGTACATTCAAAATACGAGTAAAAATCAAATTACTGAGAAGCAAGCAAAAATTCACACTTTCCTCTAAGGATAGTAATTGAATTTCCATGTAATGCAGAAATTTATTTTTCAATAATGGAAATCCATTCTTTTCAACTAGGATGTCTATTCCTAGGTGTCACATTCTTTTCCTGTTAATAGTATTTTTCTTTCCCCAAAGTGACTCACTCTGGAAAATGCCACTCTCTTGAAAGAGAAAAATTGACAAACAAACCCAAGTGTCACAAAAATGAATGTTCATGCTCGATGCCACAACTACCACATACTGATAACTTAAACCTCAATCACAAAAGTTCCAAATTACTCAACAATAGTAACTGGCTTCAGGACAAGTTAAATCTGTAACTGTGAAAATAGTTTCTACTAATACACTGCTAAGCACATGATCTGCTTGGCTTTGCTCTGCTTTGGCTGGGAAGTCTTTCGCAGAAAGACGGAAAAAGTTTTTGATGGCTTAATCAAAAGGAAAAATAGCCATTTATCAGGTTATGTAAAAATCTCATACTTGTGTTGGAAACTACAAATTGGCAGAACACATTTAATTACCACTGGCTCTTCTAGAACGTTAGGTAAAAAATAACGATGGTATAATCGCATTAAGGGTTTGTCTTTGTTGGTTTAAGACAAAGATTTTAGTCAAAGGCCTCATTAAATCTTAGATCATTCTGTGCAGAGCTTAGCTCCTCCGTGGGTCTACAAAAACAAGGAAGTACAACTATAATCCACAGAAATAAAAGAAAGATGGAGAGACTTCCAAATTTTTTAGGCTTAAACGTAGAGGAACATTTTCCCCTCTTGAACAAAAATTGTCCATTAGAAACTACAGCTCTTGAAATGAAATTATTTCTGAAATCAACCCTCAAAATCAGGACTTCAGTCCATACAGGCAATACTGTAAATATGTGCTCATAAGCACATTCCCAACGAGGCTCAAGAGAAAACATGCTCTGAACCACAAACAGATAGAGTGTGGCTCCATCAAGGTTGCAGTACCTCAAAATTACAAAATTAATTATAGCCAAGACTTTCGTGGTATGTCCCCTTATCACAGAATGGTTTGGACTGGAAGGGACCTTTTAGCCCATCTCATTCCAACATCCTGCCATGGTCAGGGACACTTTCCACTACACCAGGTTGCTCCAAGCCCCATCCAACCTGGCCTTGAACACTTCCAGGGATCATGGGGCTTCTCTTATCCTCCAAAATATTTTTGTCTCTCACTCTGCAAATTCAACACACTCCTTGCATTCCGACCACAATTAGAAAAATGCACACAACTGAATTAAAAACAATGCTGCATAGGAAAATAAAAACTCCAGTTCTGTGATACGGGTCAAGGACGAAAGTTTCTGTACAAATCTGCAAGACCACGATTTAGAACTGCAAACATCCTAATGCATACAAATACTTTCATTACAGATTAATCAGATTCAAGTGTTCCTCTGATTCTGAGTTTTGGTGCCAGTGCAAGTTTTGCTTTCGTAACACATTTATGTTTTCCTTCATATCCCTTAGAGACACAGCAAAAACCTACCACAGCCATCATCTCCTAAAAGCACAGCATTCCTTTGCACCATGTACATTAAACAGCCAGTTATACATCTTTCTACTCGTGTTAATGACTTGGTTATCAAGGTGGTTAATTATCCACCAACTTCTGGACGGGTACTTCACATTGGCAAGACAGGTACCATTTCCTGCAAGGAGAATTCTTGTCTCACGAGTACAGTGTTAAATAAGAGTTCATCTGCAAGCTCCTTATACAAACTATTCTTTATATCTAAGCATTGCAGTTGAGTAAACTGACATCACAGATGAGTAAACTGACATCACAGATCAAGGCTAGATTTGCACCCTAGATCTGAGCTGTTACGCAAATTAAAATATCTACTGCTAATTGGAAAACCGTAAGCTCTGCTGTAGGTGCAACAAGCATATTTGGGAAGTTCTCATGCGTCAATTTAAGGATTTAAGGATTTAATGCAATTAACAGGTAAGCAAACTCACTGCTCCTCTTGTCCACTGAAGTGGTAGATGTTGCCTCCCTCTCCCAACCACAACTGATTGCATCCCTAACTGTGGAAAGGTACTCTTCAGGTTTGCATTTTCAAAGGCTGCTTCAATTTATTTGAAGTTTTGAAGTAATTACTCTTCCTCCCTGATAAAATCATTGAAGGGAGAATAAAACTGTTTCAGAACTTGACCTAATTTGATCATGACACAAAACTTCCACGACTGAAAGGTGCTGCTCCCATCAGTAGTTCTTTCTATGCCCAACATAATAGATATCATACGAATAAACTTCTCTTTCACTTTGTACGTGTCAAAAGATCTACCAGACTTCAGGAGTTAATTGAGGAATGGGTGAAAATACAGATTTTCCTTGCAGATGCACTAAAAAAAAAAAAATCTATCATTATTTATTTTGGAGAAGGAGCAGGAAGCTAAAGGCAAAAGAGAACAGGGAACAGAAAGCACACAGACACACTTTGATCTACCCCCCTTTCACCTATAATATAAAAACAGTAAAAATAAAATCATAAAGAAAAAGTGCAAAATAATAGACCACCTTCACAGAACTGGTACTCCAGCAGCCTACTGGAGGAAACAAAACAAAACACCTAGAAAATGTAGATAGCTAATCAATATTTCCAGACAGGCAGTGCATAGCATTGCCTTTTCATTTCTTTAGCCTTTACACACAACAACCAATAAACAAAACCACGAAATTTAACTATTAAAAAGTGTCTCACACACCAGGCAAAGCAGCTCCCCTGCCCTGCTGAACATGGGCGATGGTTAATCTGAACGATCTGATGTCTGAACACTCCCACCCCAAAAGATGGCACAGACATCTGGCAGGACAGTGAAGGGAAAACAGTTAACGTGTAATTTAATAATGTGTAATTTATTAACAAATGCAGCTTTGGATGGATTTAACCGATTAGCAAACCTCAAAAACACATTGTAACAAAGAACAGAAAGAATAGAATTTGTTGTGCTTTATCAGTGTTCCTCACCACGGCCTGAAATGCAGCTCAGTTTTTCCTGTCCCTTCACTTTCCAAGCCATCCAGGGGACCTGCCAGTAACCAGACATCAAGTGTAAACTATTCATAATGTGGCATCAGTGCATCTGGAACCCGACAGATCATCCTTTTTCCTGAACTACTGAACCATTTTCATGAGAAGATGTGTAGCAGAACACCCCAGCCTGAGCAGCTCACTGCAGATACTTTTAAAATTATGAAGAATAAATCCCTTACGGAGTTGTAACTCATAAGTGTTACTTTAATATCCCATATTACTGAAAAAAAAACCCATCCTTTGACTCCTGTATTAACCCTACATACTCTGTATGTGCCACTCAGAAGGATGGCCACCAAAAACTCTAGCCCTAGTCATTGCAAGACACCAAGTTTTAAAATTTTATTTAATACATCGGCTTGCTTCTAAGTTTCCTTTAACAAGCAATTTCCCCTGAAGAATTAAAGAAAAATCATCTTTTAGCCAATAGGCTTTCTTTTTTTTTCTTTTATAATGGGTTATTCGAAGCCGCTCAGGTTTTGGAATATCAGGATAAATGTCAGGGAGATAAATCACCAACACACCTCGTGAAACTTGCTGCAGCACTCCCAGTAAACAAGCTGGAGCATATGGTTACAATTAGGATTTGTATGACCACAGAAATCAGAAGCTCTAGTCATGAACCACAGCCTCACTGTGCTGTGTACTGACGGTCCCTACTCCAAGCAGCTGACAGGATACATACAGCAAAAGCAGAGCTCCCAACACTCCACAAGCCTGGACAGTGTGGGGTAGAAAACATAGAAAAGAGGCTTTAATGACTTTAAAAACACATGAGACTTGAGAATGTTTAGTATGAAATATTCAGACACTGTCATAAGGGTGGAGTGGTGGCAGACAAGGGTCCCCAGCAGCATCAGCCTCTCCAAAGGAAAAAAAAACCCTACGGATTCACAGAATCCCAGAGTGGTTCAGGTTGGAAGGGACCACAGTGGGTCACCTGGTCCCATCTCACTGCTTGAGCAGGGCCATCCCAGAGCACGTGGCACAGGATTGTGCTCAGAAGGTTCTGGAATATCCCCACTGAGAGAGACTCCACACCCTCTTTGGGCAACCTGTTCAGTGCTTAGTCACTGCACAGCAAAGCAGTTCTTCCTCATGTTCAGGTGGAACTTCCTGGGCATCAGTTCCTGCCCGTTCCTCTTGTCCTATTGCTGAGCATCCCAGAATAAAGCCTGGTGCATCCTCTGACCCCTCCATTCAGGTACTTACAAGTTCACTGGAGACAATGGAAGACTTCCATGATCTATCAAGCCCAGGAACATACAGTATAAATTGCTCTTCTGGGAAAGAATGCTTTGTTATCACTGCTACCAAAGCCTATGAAAAGAGCAGAGTTCACAGAGGAAAAAGTCTCTGCTACCTGTTCAGCTGGTTCTAATTAATGGTGGCTTACTATGAAAAACATGCTGGTGGAGCTTACAACACTGATCAACCATTTTATGTAATCCCAGAATGGTTTGGGTTGGAAGGGACTTTAAAGCTCACCCAGTCCCACCCCCTGCCATGGGCAGGGACACCTTCCACTAGCCCAGGTTACTCCAAGCCACATCCAACCTGGACTTCAACACTTCCAGGGATGCACGGGCAGACACAGCTTCTCTGGGAAACCTGTGCCAGGGCCTCGTCACCCTCACAGACACCAATTCCTGCCCAACATCACATCCAACCCTGCCCTCTGGCAGTGGGAAGCCATTCCCTCTTGTCCTGTCCCTCCATCCCTTGTCCCAAGTCCCTCTCCAGCTCTTCTGGAGCCCCTTTGGGCCCTGGAAGGGGCTCTCAGTTCTCCCTGGAGCCTTCTCTTCTCCAAATGAACCCCCCCAGCTCTCTCAGCCTGTCTCCAGAGCTCTGGAGGGCTCCAACCCTCAGAACATCATTATTTCTTATATAATTATACTACAACTCTTCTGGTTTCAGATCTTTGCAGTTGAAAAGCCCCAAGAGGTTGGTGGAGCTGGAGCCAAGTGCTACCCGAACTGCTGTTGCTGTATAACCATTCTATTTCCTTACATCATTCATAAACACAAAGACACATTAGATTTAAAAAAAAAACCAAACAAAAAAACACAACACAGTGTACATCAAAGGAAGTATCTAAGTGCTTCATGGTGAGCACATCTATGGCCTGGAGGGATTTATACCAGAGGCAAGGTTTTTCTGTACTACTGTGGTTAAAGCAGAAGATGAGTTTTTCTCATGAAAACATGAATACTCTCCAAGGGGACACTGAGGCACTGCTCTGGAAGCAGTTCAACCCAACTCCAAACCAGCTGATGTGGCGCTCATAGCACCCAAGCACAGATTCTGGTCAGGATGGAGCTGCTCTGGTACTCAGTTTGCTGGGCAGCTTTTTCAGACTGACCCTGACACAGCTACACAACTATTAACACTCCACCACTTATCCTCGCAGAACGTGTGCTTGAACTGCCACCACTTGTTTTGTTCTGGGTCAGGCACATCTTCAGAGAAACTAAGAGAAAGGTTAAAGGTCTGGAAACTATCTAAATCCTCCCATCCAGGGAGGCAGAAATATCACAGGTACGGTGTCAGGAGGATGACGCTGTTACAGACTGCGAGAACAAGCAAGGACGAAGACGAACAGACAGAAGTGGGACAGAAAGCTCAGATCCACGTCTCCATTGTGGTGAGCATGAACAGACAATTAAACACTGACTAAGCACCAGAGACAGACAGGGCTGTAGCTGTGGAGCAGATCATACACCCGATCTGTGGCACATCATGAAAAGGCTCTGGAAGGTACAAACAACCAGCCTGAAATATCTGTTAGCAGAAAAAAAGGTTGGTGGAATCACAAGAATAACAGACACATTGCTGGTAGCTTTTTGTGTCTCTCTACTTTGATGTATTTTCATCTAGATATTACAAATCAGGCTACATAAAATTGAAGGGAAAAAAATAACATAAAACACTAAATATTAATAAATAGTTTTCTTGTAAAGTTAAAGATTAATCTGCAAGTGCTCCTATTAACCAGAAAGTAGCACCAATAAAAACAGGAATAAGCTACAGTATATTTAAATCACAAATGTACAACACAGGTCAGATGCCCTCAAGTAGCCTAATGCTGAATAGCATAATGCAGAGTAAAGCATATACTTGCATGATATAAAGCCATTAATGGCCAGGAATGTTTGTCTGGTTTCAACCAAAGACATGAGAAAACAAGTCATTATTGATCACTATACACAGAATTCTGCAATTAATGCTACAATAGTATATTTGTGGGCAGGTTAGTTATGATGAAGACTTAGGTGATTAATGAAGATGAATCTGGTTATTGACTCTTCTTTAGTTCCTTACAGATTTAACATTGTGCCCATTACATCTGTAAAAACCCAAACAGCACAAACCAAGTCAATTAGATATTACTGTTGCAGTAACTCCTTAGTCCTGCAAGATGAATTAAAGTGTTCGGGGTATTTTTAATAGCAAAGTATAAACTGGATCAACTATTTAAAAGGAAACCATTTAAGTTGACTTCTTTTTCAATAGTCTTGGGCAGCATTAACATTTCCCTGTCTTAGCACATCATCTGTTTGGCAGTTCCTTGCTGTAACAAGGATTTTCTTTTGCAAGCAATAAAATGACTAATTAAAAAAAATTTGCTTGTCCACAAAAAGTCAAGTTGGTTGACTGCAGACCATGAGCTGGCATATGCTAATATTATTCAAGAAAGAAAGAAGAGGGCACTTAAAGCCCACAAAAATACTTTTTTTCGACAGTAAGTTGGTTCAATGTATGTTGTGAACCACAAAATGTGAATTTCTGGTTTCCAATAAATGACTTTCTAATATCTAACCTCCACTAGCATGCATGTTGATGTCATTTATGCCTTCACTATACTGTACCAAATCTAGTACTTTACAATTATTTTCACACCCAGAGAAAGGCTGCAAAGACAAAACAAAGCTGACTCAGACTAGAAGAATGTCCTCCAAGAAGTTACAAAAATTATATTCATTATTTTCCCCCTCCTTCTAAGCCCACAACTGCTCCTTTAACCACTGGAGGGACACGGAATTGGCAACACGATTCTAACCCAGGTATTTTATATCCAGGATGGAGAAAGGTGCTTGCACACAGATAACCTGGACACAGTCAGTGGCCAAACCCAGGAGTAACTGGTGTGAGGATGTTGCTGTGTGGTTTCAGACTGAAGGAGGCTCATGAGAGGAAAATAAACAAGCTACAAAGGATGAGAAGCAGGAGAAGGTTAACTGTGGGAAAGGGTAAACTTCTGCTCATATTGTGTATAATTATCACTCCTGCTGAATCACAAGGAAGGAAAAGGGGGGTGGATTTAAAATATGGTGCTTATAAGAGTTTGTTGATCTCCTGCTGCTGTGTAAGCGACTACAAAACAGTCTTAACTTAATACATGGTCACGCAGATGACTGTAGTATCAAGTTAAACAATGTAAAAGTACAATAATTATTTTAGGCCTCAAATTTCCATATGAAAAATAAATGTTTTTTCAAACCAGCCTCCCAGCTCCCTTCATCCTAAGTAGATTTCAGTTAGGCTACTTCAGCAAGCTTATTTTAAGCATTATGTGGTATTTAAAAAGCACTGAGCAACATAAAAGTGAATTTTCAATTCTTCCATTCTTCTTTCAATCCTTATTCCGTAAAGACTACAAAACACACAAAAATAACACAATACAGAAATTACATTGAAGTTTTCCACAGCTGCTCATTGCTCAAAACTTGCCTCTATTCCATAGCAGACTACGAATTTGCTCTATTCTGATTTGTACTGTACTCTATCCATGTACCTGATCCTACATTATCCAGAGGATTGATTTGATATCATTCAGGGATTAGATGGGCAAATATGCCATTTACTTTACCAACTCTACTGTGTTGAAGTTTCACCTATAGTCCAACTTCATATACAGGCAAATAATATTAAAAAAAAAAAAAAACCATAAAAAATAATCAACCAACTGTTTGGGCACAGACAGAAAAAAAAAATCTCTATTTTCTAACAGGATGTGGTACTTATTTTTCCCCTTTCCCAGGCAGGAAATTAGAAAGCTCTTCGTAAAGGGCTGCTCCTCTCAAAGCTTTAAATGACTATACTTAATTTGCTGGGAGATGAGATGGCACTTCAGGTACTGCTGAAAGAAGCAAGAAAACAAGTGTAGGCGTACGCTGAGGGAGTTGTTA